AACGATAATATAATTTTTTTTTGGACAATGAGATATCAAGTTCTACACAGATGAAATTTTGTTGATGAGATGTGACTAGATTTTTTCTTGGATTTAGTTGATGGGTTAATAGGTCTTGCATTTAGAAATTTTTGAGCTATGATTGGAAAAATGACCAAGTAGGTAGAGGGGAATTAATATATTGTATCGGTTTGAATTGGATCGGTTTTCATCAACCCATCCGAAAACCGATATAATCCAATTAAAATTTGCGATTTTTCGATTTTCGATTTATTCGATTATCGATTTTTCGGTTCGGTCACCACGATTTGAATTGGTTGATGAACATCTCTAATTAGCATGTCTTGTACAAATGCAATGACATGAACAAACTCTCAAAATTGATATCCATGATCAATACTTACTACTCCTTATATTATATATATCATTGACATTCTAGATTTTGCTCGGGGCAATTAAGTTTTCATCATTCTAATTGCCCCGACCATATATTAATTAGGGCAATTACTATAGAAATTATACAACCAATATTTAATTTCAGTGCTTTATGTCCAAATTATAGCAAGGAGATTTTGGAGGGGGAGATACTCAACAAAATTAGGGTTCAGTGTTTCTCATATTGTAACAGATAAAATTATCTCCTACGCATATAAAAGTATATGAGGCTGATCATGTGAAAAGAAAAAATAAAATGAAAAGATGGGCCCAACACAATTTTATATGTGTAAAGGAGATAAATTCAACATGAGACATTAAAGCCAAAAAATTATGGTTGAACCAATATTATGAAGACTAGACCCGTCATTGACTCAGTTGAAAAGGTTGATTTAAATTTATGTCTAGGTATGTAATAAATATATTAATAATAGTAATAAAATATTACAATAAATTCAATGGCATAGTGGTTGTTGCCATTGAATTCCTCCAATGTATACTGTGTTCAAATCTCTCTAAGTGCTGTTGTTCATAAAAAAACACCTACCATCATGGAATTTATATTTTGCGACGGTTCATAACCGCCTTTAATATAGCATTCTGCGTCGGTTAGTAACCGTCGTCTTTCTGAGTCGGTTCCAACTAGGGGTGTTTGCGGTCTGGATTGGATCAGTTTTGGAAGCAAAAATCATCCGATCCAATTCCTTCGGTTTTGATTTTTTTTTCAAATTCGATCCGAACCAATTCAATTTTTTTCGGTTTGGATTGGATCGATTTTCGGTTTTTTGAAAATCTTAAAATTTATTTCATGATTATTGTGCAAATAACATCTTTTTTATATATTGGCTTTGTAAATTTATTTTTTTTGAAATACAAAAGCATTAATAAACTATAATATAGTTTTTTTTTTGCAATGAAATATGAAGCTCTACAAAGATAAAATTTTGTTGATGAGATGTGACTAGATTTTTTCTTGGGTTTAGTTGATGGGTTAATGGGTTTAGAAATTTTTAGGCTATGATTAGGTAAAGACCAAAGTAGGTAGAGAGGAATTAATATATTGGATCGGTTTGGATTGGATCGGTTTTTATCAACCCATCCAAAAACTGATCCAATCCAATTAAAATTTGCGGTTTTTAATCGGTTTTCGATTTTTCGGTTATCGGTTTTTCGGTTCGGTTACCGCGGTTTGAATCGGTTTGGATCGGTTGATGAACACCCCTAGTTCCAACCGTCGTTGAATATAGATATTCTGCGTCGTTTTATAACCGCCTCTGAAAGTCGTCGTGGAATTGTGATATTCAATTACGGGTCAGTAGGACGTCGTAGTAACCGTTGTTGTTAGTTATTCAACGACGGTGGGCCCTTGACCGACGCGAATTATCTATTGCAAAACACACATTTTCTTGTAGTGTCTCAACCATTGATTTCCGTCCATCTAACGATTATCTATAAATATTAATTATTTATTTATTTTAAATAAATAATAACAGTTAGATGGACGAAAATCAACGGTTGAGATAAGGAGTAAGAGTTGTAAGTCTTACTCTAAAGTCAAAAGATCCCTCCCCTATATATATATATATATATATATATATATATATATGAGAAAAACATTTCTCAAGCAGCTTGAGATAAGTTTATCTCCGGCTATCTTAAAACTACGTCGTTTTATTTATTTATTTTCTTATATTAATTGATTCACCTTTGAATGGTTATGATTCCCTTTTTTTCTCTCTTCCTTATCACCATTGATCCATCTTTATACGGTTATGATTTAGTAGGCGGAGATAAGATTATCTCAAGCAGCTAGAGAAAAGATAAGCCATATATATATATATATAAGAGGAATTTAAAGGGAGAAGAAAATTTTTAGAGAAAAGGAGAAGACTCAAGAGGGGATTGAGAAGAGAATTGTGGCATAAAGATTATGTGCCCTTTTCTGATAATCCATTCCTTTATATAACAAAGGGTTAAACTAATTTCATGTTATATGAGAGAGTATATCTCATGTTGTGAGTCAAAATTAATTAGGGTCCCACTAAAAAATAAAAATAATAATATGGGACCCAAGGGAACGAACTAGAGCAGTGGTAGAACTGTTCATTCATGACTGAAAGGTCATGGGTTCGAATTCAGGAAATAGCCTTTTTGCAATTATGCAAGGGTAAGACAGCGTATAAGGATTTCCTCCACCCCACACTCGCTAGATGGTTTTAAGGGGGAGTGGTTTAATAATATGGGACCCACTTTGATTTAAGGCTGTGTATAAGAGAAGTTACCTTCTTCAACATGAGATTAGTTTAGCCCTATAATAAATTACAACCTAATAAATTTCCCAAACAAAAGGAAATAAACTAATTAAGGGAAATAAACGATACAACAAACAAAAAGGAAATTAACTAAACAAAAGGAAATAAAGAAAACAAAGGAAATAAACAAAATAAAAAACGATATGAAATTCAAAAGGAAATAAGCGCTTAGGCCGTAAAATTCCGTTGAGATTATCTTTCAATACTGCTAGGATTCTATCTCTTACATTAGTAGATACCATTATGCACGCAAAATTATTTTTGAAAACTCCGTTGGAGGTGGGCGCACGACATTGAGATTGGGATAGGACATGAAATCGTATCAGGTTGTTCCACCTCTAAGGGGTCAGGGCCGACACGTCCACGACGGCATTTTTCTTTTGGCGACTCAGTATTCAATACAATACATTTTTGGGAGGTATGACGTAAAACTCCGTTGAGATTATCTTTCAATACTGCTAGGATTCTATCTCTTACATTTGTAGATACCATTATGCACACAAAATTATTTTTGAAAACTCCGTTGGAGGTGGGCGCACGACATTGAGATTGGGATAGGACATAAAATTGTATCAAGTTGTTCCACCTCTAAGGGGTTATGGTCGACACGTCCACGACGGCGTTTTTCTTTTGGCGACTCAGTATTCAATACAATACCTTTTTGGGAGGTATGACACCTTAATCCAACCTATAGGTAACCTTTTTCGTGATCTTAACTCTCAAGTAAAGTATCAATTGTTATGAACCTTGAGGTTATAAACATAAAAGCTAACTCTTTCTCAAAGAGTGAGAATGTCCAAAGTCTTATAAATCTCACATTATTTATATAAGCAACCAATGTGGGACTTGTAACATGAAGTATTCCCTTTTTAGTATTTTGTATGTTTTTTAATTTTCTATCATGAACTGTTTGTTTGTTTACAATGTAGTATTGAGAATTGAACTTATAACATTATACAAATTATTTAAACCCCTTATCATTAGATCAATTCTAGTACCTTAACTACGTGGTTGTTTAATTTCTATTTGAACTGCATTTTTAAATGATAGCTGTGTTTTGGCCTAGCTTTGTTTTTTTTTTTTTTTTGGTGCACAAAAGTGGCAAGGCCCCAAGCTTTGTTAAATAGCACTTGTCTGAATATTTGATCATCTGATCCACTTTTCTGTATTGTTGGTTTTAGAGGTCGTTTGGTTCAACTTTTTTTAAAAGTAACTTTTACTACTTTTTTATTTTAAAAGTATTTTTTACAAAAGTTAAAGTTATTTATATTTTTATAAAAATATTTAGTTTTTGAAAAAAATATTTGGCTTTTAACTTCTGCTTTTTTGAAAAGTTAAAATTTTTAGCTTATGAAAAAAGTAGGTTTTTGACTTTTTTTGTGACTTCTCCTTTTTTTTAAAAGCAGACATCCAAACGAACTAAAAACAAAAAGTGCTTTTATTTCTTGAAAAAAAGCAACTTTTGAAGAAAAAAAAGGTCATCCAAACGAACCTTTATTCTGCTCTCTTGCCTTGATTGATGCCAAAAAGGGACGAACAAGAGAAAGCATGTAAGGAAGCAAATAACAAATATATTTGCAATTTGTTCCGATTATAATATGTCGTTAACTCCTTTAAATAGAGGGAGCTTTATTTGAGGGGGAGATTTACTTATTGTCATTGCTTTGATTTTATTTTTATTTTTTTTCACAATTACTATGATAATTTACTACCCTAATATATATGGAAAAAATTACTCTTATATCATATGTGATAAATTTCTCTCCTACACATCCTTCGATAACTGTGCCACCTTTTTCTTTTTTATTTTTCAGGTGGTGGAGCCCACAAATTTATCTCTATGATATGAGATAACTTATCTTCTTTAACATGAGATTAATAAAATCCAATATATGTTCGGGTAAATCCTTTTTTAAATTCATATTATATTCGTTTTGATAAAAATTATATTGTATTGTGTGTCAAACCACATGTAAAATAAACAAATTGTATTCACCTTAAAAAATTTAATATAATTCTTATGCGTGTTGTGTTGATTTTAAATATATTCGTATTTGTAATTGCGTGAACTCGACCCAACACGTATTTGTGTAACCTCGACCCAACACAAACACACACACGGTAGCCCAAACTCTGGATACAAGGCAGAGATTGCGCCACGTCTGAGAATTCAGATTATCAAACATTCACATATCCCTTTTTATATTCCCCATCCACAAAAATATATTATGCAAGCTTGAAATCGCCACGTGTATCTTTGATCTTCTCATTTCCATAGACAACAAAATACTGATAGTGGTTCAGATACAATTCAATCCATAACCAGCGAGCTGGAACATTTTGCATATTTGCCTATTCTCCTCCATTATACCCTCAACACAAGGACTAGTTTAATTTACAATTTCTTAAAAAGTTTAATAATATATATAGATAGATACAGTTGAGAAATTATGTTTGTAATAATGTTACTTTTTTGTTGATGGATGGGAGCATGGTTAAGGTGCTACTGCGATAGGATTTATTGGAAGAGGAGAGCAAAGCAACGGAAAATGCAATCGTTATCGTTAAGTACGAGGAGTTTTGTGGATTTGAGGTTGCTAAGTCCGGAGGTGAGGGTGAGGAGTTGGAGGAGGAGGAGTGGGATCGTAGCGTGTGCTTCGGAGGGAGAGAGTGGGAGCGTGAGTAAAACCTCAAGCACGAGCTCGTTTCTCTCTCGGACCCAAACCTACGCACTCTTGAAGCAGCAAATGGAGGTAGCTGCCAAATCCGAGGTTAGTCACTCTTACTTTTACAATTTGAAATTTGAAAAACATCATCATCGTCGTCTTTATTATTATATATGGTTCTATTGTATAGGATTACAAGGAAGCAGCTAGAATTCGAGACTCGCTAAAGTTATTTGAAGAAGAGGAGCCTGTTTTGCGTCTAAGGAGACTAATGAACGAAGCAATTGCTGACGAGAGGTTCCAGGTATTTTCTGTTAGAGGCTCAAAGCCAGGAATAAATCTTCGGTGCTACTGTTGCACTTAGATTCAGTGCATCCCACAAATAAGAGTATTACATATCAGAGGAGAGAGAGAAAATTTAGCAAAGGAGAGAGAATTTTGGCTGACACGTAATGCTCATTTGTGAGATGTACTGAATCTTTGACGCTAAAGATTTATTCCAAAGCCAGAAACAAAACCAAAACTTATTGAAACAAACTATGGTAGTTCATTTGAGGTGTAATAACTTGGCAGTTGGGGTGAGAGCATATATTTAATCTTTCATAATATTATTTTTGGACGAGGTTTAAAGCTTTAATCTTATATAAGCTCGGAACACAATTGCTTGTATAGAGGATACATGTGATTTATTAAAAAAAAAAATCCTAATTTATTGGCTCTTGGGAGTAATACATTTATCTTGCTCTGTATTATTTAATGGAATTAAAATCAGGGACAATAAGGGTAAGGATAACTATGAGTTATGACCTATGAAGCTGACACGGTATTTTTGATACGTTCTCGATACGGAACTTCAATACGTCGATACGATATAATACGTTTTCAATAGGTTGAAAAAAAGATTGAGGTGTATGGTACATCATAGGTTATGACTAATGTGACAAATGAGGGACAATAAGGATAGCTATGACTCGTGTGGTAGATTATTAGTGTAATTTTTTTTATACTCTCACTAATGATGGGTTGCCGCATCATTAACTAACTTTGACTTATTAATTATGATAGCCAAACTATTTTGTGTGGGATCCTTGGGTGTCGTTTTTTGAATCGATGATGTCGAAGGCTTGAAAAGGTCTCGCTGACGAGAGCTTGAGTGCTTACTCGTTCTTCTGACGGCGACAGATGGCAAATTTACACTGCTTTCAAAATTTGTTGGACTATGCTCAACCATTAAATTTTGATAACTCCAAATTCATTATTTTTGTCACCCTATCAGATCAGCACACCTTATATCTTTCATCTCGAATTGGCAAAACATGACCTATATTTCCATGTTTTGTGTTCTGAAATGTGATTATCTTATAAATCTTATATCTTGACACCCTTTGTTCCCTTTTTCTTCTTCCCAGGATGCAGCTAGTTATCGTGATGAGCTGAAAAAAATTGCCCCACACTCTCTTTTAAAATGTTCCAGTGACGCTACAACATTGGTATGACCATTACTTGCAGTAAAATACTATTTGTTAGAGGAGAAATTTTTTTTATCTGAGAATCATTGATTTTCAGAATATGATTTTTACATTCAGTTTACGATAATATTCGAAAATTAAAAATTTAGAAAAATTCAGTTTTTCGAAAATCCTGAAGAATACCGCGTACCAAACACCTGTCTCCTAGGTAGTTCTTTCTTGATATAAGCTATCTCAAGAGAAATACAATTAACCAAGAAAGTAACTTTCCTTTTTTAAACTGTGTTTTAAAGTTGATTTCTTTGGTAGAATAATTAGTTCAATGCCATGTCTCCAGAAATGGAAATGTTGAGTATCTCTGTTGGAAAGTCAATCAGACTTTGTGTCGGTTGAGGCATTTGTCCTGGATAATTTGCCCCGAGTTTTAGAGCACCCCTCTTACAAAAATGTTCCACTTTTGTTTTCTTCTCTGGTAGAAACTGTTAGTCTACTTAAAAATTATTTATTTTCCTTTGAAGTTTTCAAAAAAAAAAAAATAGGAATCCCTAATTCATCTGAGATATCACGTACTTGTACACGAATAAAATCTGAAATCTTATAATTTAATTTCCAACTTATTCAGGGAATCAGGGTTCAAGTTAGGAGTGTATATATAGAGGGCAGAAGTCAGCCTTCAAGGGGCTTATACTTTTTTGCATACAGAATAAGAATTACCAATAACTCAGACCGGCCTGTTCAACTTCTTAGAAGGCATTGGATTGTAACTGACGCTAATGGGAGAACGGAAAATGTCTGGTGAGTTATTATTCTTCTCTTTATTATACTTTTGTGTTATCCTTCTAAGGTGGTTTTCTTTTTCCTTTTAAACACATGGGGCACTTAACTTATAGAAGATATTGGCGTTGTTTGATCCCCGTCTAATGAAAAAAGACTATTGTTGTTGTTTTAAATCCACGGGGATTCAAGTTTCAACATAACTTCTGTACTTTATTTTCGTATGACAGGGGGATTGGGGTTGTTGGTGAACAGCCAGCAATTCCTCCCAGGACTAGTTTTGAATACTCTTCAGCATGTCCATTAAGCACACCAAACGGTAGAATGGTAAGAATGTTTTTCTTTGTTAATTTTTTTTTTTTTTTTGCAATTTCCTTGTGTAATAAGAGTTGGTTTGAGTTTCTTAAGGTGATACCCTTATAATATTGTTGGTCGTATCCTGGTATTTGGTAATTGATAATAATGTTACTGTTACCTTTCTATCAAATAGATGTATTAGAGATTCGGATGGTATGGGTATCATGCAATAAAACAGAACTATAACTAGGGAGAAGGCTAAAAGCACAGGATATCCTCCTTCCCTTTATTTATATATTCTCTTAAGAATATTGATCAATTTGCTTCAATCATATGAATTGTATACTTAAACTGGCAACATGACACAGCTGAATTTCTGTAAAAGCTCTTATCTATAAAAACCCGTAGTAGATCTCCTTTGGAAATAAACATATGTGACATTAAGTTTGAGTAGGTTCCATGCTGACATGATTTCAAACCAAACAACCATGATTATTTGCATAATGACCATAACCATAGACCAAATAAATAAATAAATAACTAAAATCCTTATTGAAGCCCATGTTCTACATGCTTTCAATATGATTGATATGATTGGTTGCGTCCTATTTTTCATTATTTCATGAATACTTTTAGGATTACCACAGAATTACTAGCATTTTAACCATGCAACACTCCCAGTTTCTTCATCAAATTAGAAACTGGTGGATAATTGTAATAAATACCCTCAATGATTTAGATTCATTCATTGATTGTAACTGCTTGTTTGATTTGAGAATGATATCTACTTTCAAGGATTTCCAATTGTGTCTCAATCATATTGGACATAAGACCTGGCATTTGTATCATAATATGCAGGAAGGTGACTTTGAGATGATACATGTTGATAGAGCAGGCTCAAGATCATTCAACGTGGCCATTGCCCCGTTTTCTCTCTCTCTACTTGGAGACGAAGACAATCATACCATTTGAGATCGAACAGTAGCTCACATTTTCAGATCGTGTCGGATTAGCATCTGGAATATGTAAAGGATTATCATTCTCACAGCCATTCAGAGCAACTTAAAAACAGTCTTCTTTGCATTATTAAGTGTAAAATATCCCATTGTTGGGAATATATAAATGATCAGCGTACATATGTATTTTATTGAATTGATGTGTAGAAAACTCAAGAAAGAAATCAATATTTAGATATATGGATTATAGAGCTCAAATTGTGTTCTGTTACCAACCCAGGAGAAAATAGATAATTTAATCAATTGATGATGTAATTAACTTGGAGCAACCATGAAGCTGAAGTAGATGCTGCTTTTGCGTTGGGCTCGCATTGGCCCAATTGTGACGCTCTTGCATTAACACAACTCAAGTATTCCGAGGCACTTTGCCAGCTCCTGTTGTAGGGGTTTGGAATTTGGAAAAAGTCTAAATGATAATGATATCAACATGTAAATCTGGCTTGATCAATTTTGTTTATTTTTTATTTGGGCCATAACATATTGGTTATGTAGGGAAGATGGGGGATGGATCCATATATCAAGTTGTGTTAAATTGGAGATCAATATGTCATTTATAAGGAATTATAGTATGTTCCTCTCACTAGATTGTAGGGGTGTGAGATTGTAGGGGTGTTAATGAGCTGAGTCAGGCTGAGCTTTAGTCTTGAAATGTTAAGTCTATGTTTAAATATGTCAGACTGACCTAGCCTGTAACATGTTATGAATATAATTATCGTCTTGTAACTTGGCTTATTTATAAAAAATAAAAGTCTGACTTAGTATGTTAAAAAAAATAAAACAACAAAAATTTATATAAACAGAATATACGATCAATAGCACTAATAATTTCACAAAGATTTATAAATTCAATGTATATCCAAACAGCATAATATAAAACAAAATCATTCAAAAAGTCTGCTTAATCAATAAACTAAAGTAGTGCAAAGTTCTGCATATTCAAAAGAACAAAAGATTACAAATTATGCATAAATAATTTAATATACTCATATCAACATTTTAACATATTGTAATGTTGCCTCCTCTTATATTAAAAAAAAGTCAGATTATTTTTGACATTCAATTATAATATCATAAGATATAAAACAATTTAAATTAAGTAAATTAATACCTTATGTTTTTTCTTTATGTCATACTTATTACGTAACTAATCTGCACCGCAAATTAATGTTTGAACCGTATTTTTAGCCAAACTTGCCCAATAAGCGTCAATGACCCTTCCACTAGCACTAAATGATGATTCATCGGAGCAACGAATGTTGATGTTGACTCCGTCGGTGGCCTTAGGCTCCGTCGGATGGTGGAAGATAGAGGTCGTGTGAAGAGAATGATGACCTTCAACGGTGAAATTCGAGACCTTCAACTGTTGGGAACCACCGAGAGACGAAGAGAGACCTTCAACAAGAGATAAAAGTGAAATGCTCGGAGATTGCAGAAATCGAAAGGGAAATGATGGTGAAATGCTTGGAGATGGCTTCGTCGAAGAGAATGACGGAGAATGGTTGCTTGATGGTTTGAGTGGCCTGGGCGTAACGATGGGGAATGAAAATTAGGTTAGTATAAAAAATAAAAAATAGAGTTAGTAGGCCAGTCTGACGGGCTTTAAAATCGGCTTTTGAATTGGAGCTTGAGCTTTTTTTTATTAAATAAGCTTTTATACAAGTCTAAGTCTGGATCCAACAATCAAAACCCCTGAAAGGCCCCTGATGTGAGCCGTCAAACCCACGCAAATTAAGAGGTTATAAGATTTGTAGTAAAGGGCACAACCTGAATCGTCTCTCAAGGAACTTGCAAAGGGACTAAATCGCTCAATTAAAAATAGTAAATAAAAGGGGTTTTATGCGATTTAAAAGACAGAAAATAAATCAAGATTGTAAAAATGGAAACTTATCAAATTAAAGACAATCAACCCAAGAATTAGAATTCCAAAGTATCCATTATTGGACAAAGAATTACCAAATATCAAAGTTGATCCTAAACAAACCGGAATCTCTGCATTCATTTAGGAATTCCTCTCTACATGATCGCCTAGAGTTTGGTCAATATGGCACGTTAACTCACGCAATCGCGAAATATCAACGCGCTTGACTTAAGATCATTGGATTAATCAACCTAAATGTTAAATCTAACATTTAATCTCTTCCCTAAGATGCATTCGTAGACCTTAGATTCAACACCCGCAATCACACGATGTTCAATCTGAGTTAAGAGAAGAGAAACAAAATTGTTGCAAAAGGAGGCATAGGTCCTCATGACTCAAAGATGGAATCCTAAACCCTTGGATTGATTAAGGAACGCTTAGCACAGCATGGCTAAGTAGAAAACCATAATTAAAATTAAGAAAATAAAGAAGAACACGAAGAGCAGAGAAAGGAAAACAAAAATTATATTACATCATAAAACTATAAAACATAAGACAATTTAACGATAATGAAAAGTTACTGACAAGGTTTCCTAATCATGCCTTTATATAGGCTCTACAAAACTGACCCAGAATAAAAGGAAACAAAAGATAAATAATGGATTTGGGCCTCATAGACAATGGGTTCCTAATTACAAATTTAAGCTCAATTAATTACCTAAAATTCCTGCAACTCGCTTCTGACTTCAGCCCCAACTTTGACTATCTTCTTGTCCGAATTTGGCTTCCATGTCTTCATGACATTTGTAGATCTTTGAGTTATCTACAAAATGGGACAAATCCACATAAAAGACTTTGTGCTCGGGTTGTTCCATTAGATTAGGATATTGTTTGATTCACAGAAAGTTATATTTATCAGGTACACACCGGATTAATGTTATTCAATTCAGCCACCCTTTTTTTGTTCAAGTCAAATATTGGTTTAGAAAGTGTGGGGTTCATAAATAGGGTTCTACTGCATGTGTGGAACTAATCAATAGACCCAAAAGCTTGTAATAAGCACACGCACCCACCCCACATTTTCATCAAAAGCAATTAAAAAATTCATTGCTTACACTTTACTACCCTGCACAGTATAAGCGGATAATCCTGCAGAATTGGAATTGATGCCATCTGTTTTTGGTCGAAGACAAACATGGCCTTGAAACGGGATTAATCAAATAACTAGAGCAAAAGTTATGCTCAAAATACCAAAGCAGTATAAATTTGGAATTTTAGTACGAAAATTGAACTAAACCTAATTTAAAGCCCAACATCTAATTTAACCAAAATGGTCATTATTACGCTAAAAAAAATCCAAAAATCATTAATCGAGTAACAAATAAGTGTAATAAATATCAATTACCAACCCTTGACTCTTTTTAACACCCCTAAGTACATGTTCTAGGAAATTCTCAACCATAAGTTATTTTAAGAATATGTAATAAATTCTCATCAGCTAGTTACATATTCCCTTTTTTTCTTTAGTATAGTAAAATAACATATGTAAATCTTGTGCTGATCTTTTGGCGAAGAAGAGAGCTTGAAATGTTAATGCCTTCAAGACCTGGAATGTGACTCTCCCTTATCTGTAACAGCTCATGATGCTGGATGGTCTTGACATTTAGTACTTAATAGTTGTTTTCTTTTTGTTTTCTTTCTTCCTTACTATGTTTTTTTTAAGGGTTTATTGTTTATTTTTTACATACATAAAATTGTTTGAGGTCAATATTTTCTCTTTTCTCTTGACTTGGCTCATATGGGGTCTTTTTCTCTCTTTTCTCTTCACTTGGAGTCTTGGACTTACAAGAATCTCAAATACTTACTTTTATGTGTGTATTAGAGATAAATTTATCTCCTAGAAATATTAAATTATTTTTTTAATGTACCAAAGCATCCCCTAAATTAGTTGAACGGTTAACTAATTTAATAGTTTCCATATATGTTTTCTACTTTTGAGGATAAAAACAAAATTGAAAGCAACTGACCTTTGAATTATAAATTCTTATAAATAGTTACTAATGTCCAATGGAGCAAAAACATGTCTTTTTGGGACATGAAGCAGATAAATAAATTTTACTAAGACATTATGAGTATAATTTTTTTTTAAATAGTAAGCAGGAATAAAAACCAGTCAGATTAGAACCTCTAGATGACTGTGGAAAGCTATGAATCTTATGATCTGAATGGCCGGTGCTCATTTTGGTAGAGTAACTATTGTAATAGTTTTTTCTTCGCCTTCTTTTATGGAGTATTTTTAGAGGTATAATTCAAACCCCTAATATTAATAATTACAATTTACTTATAATGGAGTCATTATTTACTAGTTAGTTATCGAGAGGTTTGTTATTCCCTCCTTATTCTTTTATTTGACAAAAAAAATATTATTTTATTCCAAATTAATTGACAAATTACTGCAAAAGATACATACAATTAACGGTTATAAATATGTATACAAACAAAAACAAATAAAAAAAAACCACTCCTCGTTAATTTTATACTCATATGGTCTGTTTATACCACAGTCTATTTAAACCAGAAATATTATCAATATTCATAATCTAGAAGTTCATTACATTAAGACAATGTTTTCTTTTTTGTTTAATGACCATAGGTTTCTCTCAAAGCCATAAGTCTTTAATATCTTAGGTTATGACTTAGTTTAATTATTCCAGAGGTTCATAATCCACGCTTCTGTTTGGACAGAACAAATCACAACACGAAATTCTCATAATATCTGGATATTCCACGGGGACATATCCGGATATGAATATCCGGATATCAAAATCCCCATATCCGGATATCTCGCGACAAAATGCAGTTCTTGCATTTCACGAAGATATCCTTTCAAGACTCCATTTTTAATCGTTCAAGCATGCATTTTTAGACACCATTAGACCAGTGTTCATTGCTAGTTACTTAATCATATCATTTTACATGCCAAGACTTAATCTTTAACATAGAATTTCATGAACAAAGGTTGGAAATGTATACCAAGCTTCCAAAACAGAGAAAATAGGTGATCTTAGAGAACTTTACACCACCCTATAGTTCTGCTACAACTAGGCTACGAAAATAATCCTCAAGCTTGGTCCTTTACTACACAAAATAGCTTCTTGAAGCTTCAAATGCCAAGGAAATGGCTACAACACCACTAACTAGTGAAGTCAGCCCTCAACCCCTCACCACACAGTAGGTACAACTCATAAATAAGTTGCATTCCTCCCTCACAAAGCTTGCTCACACTCATCTATGGTGTTTTGGTGAAGAAAGTATAGAGAAAGGTGGTCACTTGGGAATTTTTCTT